TGATTACGATTTTAAGTGTAGTTTTAAAGTTATTATCCCTGAAAGATTGCATTGGATCTGCTTGTAAGGAGTTCTGCTCGCTCCGTTCAATGAGTAAATCCGTACATAACAGAATAAATTTTAAAAAATCACAAGCAAATCATATAAAAGAAAACTATAAATTTAATTTCAAAACTATTTAAACCGAAAAGAAAAAGTTACGTTTTTTCTTTTCTTTTTATTGTACAAAATAATTAACATTTGAACGTATAAAAAATATATTCAGATTCTAATTATTTTGTACAGTTCTCTATATGAAGAATGAAAATCCATAACTTCGAATGCATACAATCTAGGCAACTTTATGCACACAACTTAAACTTAAAATATTTTATAAATTTCCAATCAGGAGCTGAGGAAGATGAGACAGAGCTGGCCTCATCCTAAAGCCATAAAAGAAATAAAAAGAAATGGAAAGATTTTTCCTATTTATTCAAAGAAGCTTTTATTTGGATCTATTTCAATTTTTTCTTCTTTTTTTACATAAATGACTAATTTTTACCTTCCCAATTCTGTTATATATAACAGAGTTAAAGTATGTAAATCGGTCAAAAAACAGCCCCAAGTTTTTTTACGTTTTTGGACTCGGGGAACCTTGAAACGTCGAGAAATGCAAGAAAAAAAAATCAAGGTTTTTTCTTTATGTATGGATATTAGTGTATGTTTGTGTGGCACGATTTTGTTCACTCTGAAACTTAATAACTCCTGTACTTTTGTCGAAAATTCTGCAGGGAGGTTTGTGTATTATGGAAATTGATGCTTTAAATTTTGGTGGTTAAAGGTCAACGAGGTGAGGAGATAAAGGAGATCGTGTGGTCGTAAGTACGGGGTCGGACTTAATGACGATTTTAATCGTTATTGGCATTTACAATTTTTTATAAAATCTATACCTATCCTGAAAATTAAGCTTGTTGCCATTTTACAGTATAATAATTAAAAATATAAAGTTTTTAATAAAAAAAAATCTCATAACAGATGGTGCCACACATAGTTTTAAATGTTGCCGGGAAAGTTAAGCAACTCGTTAATGGATTATTTTTTTAAAGTGTTTTTGGTGAAAGCCCTGGGACAAATGGCTCTGCTGATTCATCTCTATATGAGTTGAGTGGAATCATACTTTGTGCGATATGGAGAGCGGATGAATTTACAATTACTTTTATAAGAATGAATTTTAAAGAGAAAATCTTATATAAGTAACATTTTGCTTATAGGCACAGGAGTCGTTTTTAAGGTGTTATCATTGCACCTGATAATCCTTGACATTTTACATCTAAATCTAACCAATTTTTTGTATCGCATTAATGCATGAAATGAACATAATAAAATCCATGGACTGAACTGCGTGCCATCGAGTATGGTTGATAATTTCCCAATCACTCAACCAATTAAGATTACTGTAATCTGTTCCTGCTCGCAACACCATGTTTTCCCTATTGATGAGTACTTGAACTATTTTTTATTACCAAAATATTTTTCTGACTTATAATGTGTAATCCCAATACACCAAGAATAAGACGTTATGTCCACTGTTTGTTTCTGCAGATTGTTCTGAACAGAACTACAGTACTTTAATTTGAATCATTCTCTACATTATCTATACAGAGTATTTTTTATATTTTCACATTGATTAACATAACATACTAGCACATTGCTAACATGGTTACCATAATTAAGCTCATTATGGATATTAGAGGCAACCAGTATGATGAGCAATGAGAAACAATATCCTAAACTTACTCATGATTGACATATATATGTAGAATAATAATAATAAGTATATATATATATATAAAATTCATCAAAAATTAATTTATAACAAAATTTTATTAAAATGCATTATAAATATATGAAAAATACAAAACATAAAATTTAATTACTTTTACATAATTACGAATATTTATTATACAAATGTAATATTAGCAAATTATTATATATTTTATTTACAAGATCGCTTCAAGTGATAGCCTGTAGAGGGCATTTGTCAGTGAAAAACTTTGTTTTTAAAAATAAATATAAAAACCTTTATATAAAAAATAACAATTAATAATTAACATAGAAATAGAAATTAAGCTTAAAATATAAAGTTGATGACAATAATAATAATAATAATAATAATAATAATAATAATAATGGAGTTCAGCGGAATATAAATTCTAACAAAATATACATATCAATTCTAAAAAAATTGATAAAAATTTCTTATTATTATTATATATGTAATAAAATTTATTATACAAAATTGTTTCTCTTTAATTTTATTTTTTCTCAAAATTTCATTGAGAATTAACAATTTTCTTTCTTGATTTTAATTTCTGAGTTTTCTGCTTCTGTTGGCAGGTGGCGACACCTTGAGGAATCATTTCTTTTGCCTTTTTCCTGGCAACGATCGTCTGTCTGAGAGTCAATAGCGTTTTAATACTCGCACCAGTTCCATATTTGACATGCTTACCAATTAATGCACGCGGGGTTCTTTTTCTATTTTTGACACCCGTACCAATCGTATCTAATTTAAAATCGTTCGAATCACAGTTTGACATTTCAAATTTCGTCACTTCGACGTCATCAGCGGATCGATGCCTATTTCTTCGATGGTGTAAATCGAAATTGAAATTCGGTATCTGAGAACAACTGAACGATCGATTTAAATGACACGATAAATCGATTAATTTCTCTTGATCGATCGAATCTGTTTGGCCAAATGTCTTTAATCTATCGGAGAATGGATCAATCGAAGATCGATGCGCTTCTATAGGTTTATCCACTAACAAATTCGGCGCGAGGAATGGCGCTAAAAATACTCTTTTCCACTTTTCCCAAGGGTCTGGAGATAGGCGGATGCGTTCTCTTTCTATCGCAGGCTTCTTCCTTAAATCAATTGGCTCCTCCAGGTCATATCTGCTCTGGACTGGAATGTCTATCATAATCGATGTTAACTGAAATAGAAAGCAGAAAAATTAATGAACTCTGTTACAGTTTCCTTCGTTACAACTTCATATCATGTAGCAAAACCTGAATTAGGCTACATGATTAATGGACAAATTCTCACAATCCAGAAATTTCATAACCTTTGCGAAGAAAAATACTAATAAACGTTTGATTTTAATTACTCTTTTTAGAAAATTTATTCTTCAGTTAATCTAGTTTAACAGAAAACTGAATCTAAAGTTTATTCAGTTCCAGTTTTTTTTTTTTTTTCATTTAATAAACTGAAACTGTTCAGTTCAGAACACTGAACTGAATAATACACAAGAGACTGAAACTGTTAGAGTTCTGTCTCTTGAACTGAAATTCAGTTTATTTTCAATGTCAGTTCATTAACAAATAGAAATTGTTCAGTTTTTATAAATGAACTGAACAATTTATTTATTTTAAACTGAAACTGAAAAACTACAAGTAAATTAAATGAAACAAACAAAAACAATTTCAATAAATTAAATTCCGGCTTATTAATCACTCTCAAAGATGTTATCAAGCTTAAGTTTAATTAGACTTTTCAGTTTATTTAACTGAAAAATTTTGAACCAAATGAACTGAAAATTAATTAAATAATTTAATAAATTCTATTTTAAAAAGTCCAAAATGACAAAGTTAATTTCAAAAATGATCTTTTAATACTAAGCAGGAACAGATTTTNTCTATACCTATCCTGAAAATTAAGCTTGTTGCCATTTTACAGTATAATAATTAAAAATATAAAGTTTTTAATAAAAAAAAATCTCATAACAGATGGTGCCACACATAGTTTTAAATGTTGCCGGGAAAGTTAAGCAACTCGTTAATGGATTATTTTTTTAAAGTGTTTTTGGTGAAAGCCCTGGGACAAATGGCTCTGCTGATTCATCTCTATATGAGTTGAGTGGAATCATACTTTGTGCGATATGGAGAGCGGATGAATTTACAATTACTTTTATAAGAATGAATTTTAAAGAGAAAATCTTATATAAGTAACATTTTGCTTATAGGCACAGGAGTCGTTTTTAAGGTGTTATCATTGCACCTGATAATCCTTGACATTTTACATCTAAATCTAACCAATTTTTTGTATCGCATTAATGCATGAAATGAACATAATAAAATCCATGGACTGAACTGCGTGCCATCGAGTATGGTTGATAATTTCCCAATCACTCAACCAATTAAGATTACTGTAATCTGTTCCTGCTCGCAACACCATGTTTTCCCTATTGATGAGTACTTGAACTATTTTTTATTACCAAAATATTTTTCTGACTTATAATGTGTAATCCCAATACACCAAGAATAAGACGTTATGTCCACTGTTTGTTTCTGCAGATTGTTCTGAACAGAACTACAGTACTTTAATTTGAATCATTCTCTACATTATCTATACAGAGTATTTTTTATATTTTCACATTGATTAACATAACATACTAGCACATTGCTAACATGGTTACCATAATTAAGCTCATTATGGATATTAGAGGCAACCAGTATGATGAGCAATGAGAAACAATATCCTAAACTTACTCATGATTGACATATATATGTAGAATAATAATAATAAGTATATATATATATATAAAATTCATCAAAAATTAATTTATAACAAAATTTTATTAAAATGCATTATAAATATATGAAAAATACAAAACATAAAATTTAATTACTTTTACATAATTACGAATATTTATTATACAAATGTAATATTAGCAAATTATTATATATTTTATTTACAAGATCGCTTCAAGTGATAGCCTGTAGAGGGCATTTGTCAGTGAAAAACTTTGTTTTTAAAAATAAATATAAAAACCTTTATATAAAAAATAACAATTAATAATTAACATAGAAATAGAAATTAAGCTTAAAATATAAAGTTGATGACAATAATAATAATAATAATAATAATAATAATAATAATAATGGAGTTCAGCGGAATATAAATTCTAACAAAATATACATATCAATTCTAAAAAAATTGATAAAAATTTCTTATTATTATTATATATGTAATAAAATTTATTATACAAAATTGTTTCTCTTTAATTTTATTTTTTCTCAAAATTTCATTGAGAATTAACAATTTTCTTTCTTGATTTTAATTTCTGAGTTTTCTGCTTCTGTTGGCAGGTGGCGACACCTTGAGGAATCATTTCTTTTGCCTTTTTCCTGGCAACGATCGTCTGTCTGAGAGTCAATAGCGTTTTAATACTCGCACCAGTTCCATATTTGACATGCTTACCAATTAATGCACGCGGGGTTCTTTTTCTATTTTTGACACCCGTACCAATCGTATCTAATTTAAAATCGTTCGAATCACAGTTTGACATTTCAAATTTCGTCACTTCGACGTCATCAGCGGATCGATGCCTATTTCTTCGATGGTGTAAATCGAAATTGAAATTCGGTATCTGAGAACAACTGAACGATCGATTTAAATGACACGATAAATCGATTAATTTCTCTTGATCGATCGAATCTGTTTGGCCAAATGTCTTTAATCTATCGGAGAATGGATCAATCGAAGATCGATGCGCTTCTATAGGTTTATCCACTAACAAATTCGGCGCGAGGAATGGCGCTAAAAATACTCTTTTCCACTTTTCCCAAGGGTCTGGAGATAGGCGGATGCGTTCTCTTTCTATCGCAGGCTTCTTCCTTAAATCAATTGGCTCCTCCAGGTCATATCTGCTCTGGACTGGAATGTCTATCATAATCGATGTTAACTGAAATAGAAAGCAGAAAAATTAATGAACTCTGTTACAGTTTCCTTCGTTACAACTTCATATCATGTAGCAAAACCTGAATTAGGCTACATGATTAATGGACAAATTCTCACAATCCAGAAATTTCATAACCTTTGCGAAGAAAAATACTAATAAACGTTTGATTTTAATTACTCTTTTTAGAAAATTTATTCTTCAGTTAATCTAGTTTAACAGAAAACTGAATCTAAAGTTTATTCAGTTCCAGTTTTTTTTTTTTTTTTCATTTAATAAACTGAAACTGTTCAGTTCAGAACACTGAACTGAATAATACACAAGAGACTGAAACTGTTAGAGTTCTGTCTCTTGAACTGAAATTCAGTTTATTTTCAATGTCAGTTCATTAACAAATAGAAATTGTTCAGTTTTTATAAATGAACTGAACAATTTATTTATTTTAAACTGAAACTGAAAAACTACAAGTAAATTAAATGAAACAAACAAAAACAATTTCAATAAATTAAATTCCGGCTTATTAATCACTCTCAAAGATGTTATCAAGCTTAAGTTTAATTAGACTTTTCAGTTTATTTAACTGAAAAATTTTGAACCAAATGAACTGAAAATTAATTAAATAATTTAATAAATTCTATTTTAAAAAGTCCAAAATGACAAAGTTAATTTCAAAAATGATCTTTTAATACTAAGCAGGAACAGATTTTAACCTAAATAATTTTAAATTCTAGAAGTTAAATTTTCCTGTAACACATAAATAGAGTTTTTTTTTAGAACTTCCTGATCATCAATTGTTGATGTTTTTGGCTTAAATATAAATAGCATGCTAATATCCAAATTGGGATAACTCTTCTAATACGATAATGAATTCAAATTTATTCCTAAGAATTCGATAAATCTTAAAACTTGTCGATGGGTTGCATAGATGTGTATGAAATTTAATAGATTAAAAATGAGTGAAATTTAGTGTTAAAAATGAGATTATTTCCTGGGCGGAAATTGTCTTCCGACTTTTCCATTTACTTGTAAATAAATAAATAAAATTGATCATTTATTAATTTTTTTTGAAAAGAAATTAAATTATTTTATCATGACAATATAATTTCATGATAAAATAAGTGAATTTTCTGTTAGTCTTTAAGATTTAAGGGTTATAAAATACAATTCTTGATTGGCTTAAGAGTCATTAAAGATTAAAAACACTTCAGCATTCTTATCATGAAAATGTATGAAACTTATTCACAAATATAACTTTAAAAAATAATTTGCTGTTTAGGAAAATTAAATTTATTTTAATTTCCTGAACTTAGGTTGGTATAATATTTAAAAAACCAAATTACTAAGTTCAGGAAACTAATTTTTGTTAATAATTTGTTAATAATATTGTTTTTTAAATATTACACCAACGTAACAAGTTTCATACATTTTCATAAAATAACTAGATTTTTTATGAAATAACTTTACAAATTCAGCAAAATATACTAAATATTTATTATAATTCAAACTTTTCTAGGTAAATTTTATAATAACCTTATCAAATCTCTGTTCTAAAATGAATTTTTTCCTTCTCTTCATTGAGTTTTATAAAACTTTCTCATCATATAAATTTTTAAAGAATATATCATTTAATACTCCATATTTTAATTACTTACAATTGATAGAAATGCATTTTTTTCTAATTAAATAATTTATATAAATGACAGATTCCATTTATTTAATTTTAACAGCACAATTATATCGTAACAAATTAAATTATTACTTATAAATGATTATTAATTGACCTAATTTAGGTTAAAACGTTGGTTTATTTCTCTCTAATCACACAATGAAAAATACATTTACTGATTAATTGTTAAGTTTTAACCTTTCATGTTTCAACTAAATTTCAATTCAATAAATATTCAATACATTAAAGTTTAAATTGCATTGAATCGAATTAATTATTTAAACTTGTAAATTTTAATTAAAATAATTAAAATTTTAGGCTTAAATTTTTATCAGTTATTTTAAATGAGAATATTTAAACACCTGCATCCAACCTTATTGTTATCTCAATATCTAGGATGGCCCAAAAATCAGTAAACTATTGTAAAGATTAAATTGCTGATTTATTACTTTAACGAATTTGATTTACGATTTGCATTCACGAATGTTACTAGGTTAACTGTCTTTTGGACCACCCTATAGCCAGTAACAAATTATCATTATAATATATACAGTATATATTTTTTCTTCCTTCTCGCTTTGTAATAAGCCAAAAATAAATATTAATTATATTTATAATGGAATGCATAACAGAAGTATGCAAGTAACTAAGTTAATGACTCTAACTTCTATTATAAAATAATCATTTCAGTATCATTTAAATGTTAATTCAGTATACTGAATAAGAAGGTTATATTGTCTATCCTTGGCAACTTTCAAATCAATATCAAGTACAGTATATTATTTATTTCTTTTTTTATGAACTGCGTGAAGCTTACTAAAGTTTTACAATGAGATTATCCAGAACTCTAAATTATGCTTTTTTCATCCCTTTTTTTAATTTTCTCGGAAACTAACCGTAAACTTTCGTATAAATACATACCTGCTTTCGGTATATGAATTTAATAAAATAAAAATACAGTGTGGCCCAAAAGTCACTTAAGTATTGTAAAGACTACATTAACGTCCTATTCAAATACTTCATTACTTACTTGTTCAAAGTATAATGCTTTGACATACTTTCACTGAATTGTTAGAAAAACACGGTTACCTGACTTTTAGGACACTGTATTAATTTATTTCTTTATTTATAATCGAATTAAAGAGCAGAATTTATATATGTGGCAGCAATTGATGTTAAGACAAGCCTTAATTAATAAAATATATATTAAACTGTAAACGGATATCCGCTTTGCCTCAATTCAAGTTTTATGGATACTCTTATTTTAATAAGATAATAAATTATTAACCAATTTTAAGTTATTTAGGGTGCGATACTTCACATTCAGTGAGGATTAAGACATTCTGGGGCCCCCATTATAAGCTCCTAAGTTTTTCCCGGATCCGGAGAAAATTTAGGAGCTTATAATTGTTCTCACCTTCTGTAAATTAATATTTTAATAAAGAAACAAACGTCCTATGTATTTCACTTGTTCAGAAAAAATGATAACAGAAGTTCGCTCTACCCCGGGCTCTTGACAGTCCTGTCACTAAGCACAGAAGATTGGGGCCTCTACATAATCTAACTGTGGCTATGGAATTATTTATAATTGTGATGTACAAATGCAACATTAAAATTGTTTCATTTATTTCTGATTTAAAGACACGGTATTGTTCTTAATTTATTCAAAACAGTTAATATAAGCATAAACTAAGACAGTTAAGGCCACACACATATTGGGCAGAACTATAATCTAAGACAAGAAAGAAGTATAAAAAAAAATTCTTACGTCGTTGCCAGTTTCATATTTCACATTCCAGGTGTTTACTGCATTATTTTATCCCATAAGCCTATTTATGGCTCAAGGATCAAATTTAGATTAACAGAATTTAAAATCTAACCTTCCTTTCTGAGCCCCAATGTTATTACTTACAATGTCAGTTAAAGCTGAAATTTCTAACAGAATAATAATGCATGTAAAGTCATATCATGCTGAAGACTGTAGAGAGCTTACATAACCCAAAAATTAAACGTTTGCTGATATATCAAGAGATTATCAACCTATTTAACATCTGAAAGCATAGCGTCACGGAAGTTTTGTCTTGTAGGTCTATTGACTGAAAGAGATTCCATCAGTTACATATTGCATAGATAATCGAATCTTTGTTGCTGTTAATGATTAAATTCGTCTATGGTTTAATCATAAAAACAGCAAAGATCAGTTAGAGAATGGTTTCAATCCTCAATGATTGCAAATTTAGAGGATCCGATTGTTTTCCTCGTTACTTCATTTATAATTCACTTCAAACTATTCATTTGCAGAAGTCTTTAAGCCATTAATCCATTAATGCATGCAAATTTTCGATCTCAAGCTCCAATCAAACCCCTACCAAATTTTCGAGACAAGAAGAAAAAAATCAAAATTAATTTTTGAAATAATATTTCTTTTTTAATTAATTGCTGTTATTATTATAATCAAGAGAGGTTAAATAAAACTGAAAAAGTAATTAAATTTATGGCTCTACTGCATAATCTTTGATGCGGAATATTTATTCATTGGAGCAATGATTATCCCTAAAAAAGTTTAATTAATATTTATACAAAATTTATTTCAATAAATAAAACTACACATTTTTTTCCCTTTTTTTCTTTCTTGTCATGAGGCCACAAAAGCAATAATTTGACCTTAATCACCCTTCAACATCTATTACACTGTTCGTATTTTGTAGAGACTATTCGCTTAATATTCCTTTTTTTTTTTTTTTTTTAAATACTCTAATTTTCTTCTTCCTATTTTCAATTTTCTTCAAAGGCACATTTATACCTCTATCTTTTAACTGACCTGCTTTACTTTCGTCTTTCCGCTTTTACTTTTTCTTCCACTATTTATGCCATTTTCACAGAAATTTATCACTACTTNAACAAGGCCACTGACTGAAACATGGAAAAGTGGCCGTTGTCTGGAGGTTATTTTGTATTCATTTTTGTTCAAAAAACTTAAAAAAATTTCCAAAAATATTGTCTGGCCGCTATTTAGAAGTGATCGTTATTGGAGGTTCGACTGTATTATAATTTCTTCAATAATATGTATTGAGAAAATATTTAACCGGTTTTTATTGTAGAAGAAGAAATAAAAAAAAATTTTTGATGTTTACGTGTTGCTATCGGTTATCACGTAATTTTAGAGGGGCACCTGCCCGGATGGGCAATCCTCAGATACGCCCATATATATAAATTTCATAATTTTCTGTAGTTTTGATCAACATATCCAATTTTTTTTTGGTTTATTCTAATTTAAAATATGATTAATTTTGTTTACGTACATCTGCAACTCATTAGCGATTTTATTGCAATTAAATTAAATATAACAAATATTAATTTTATAACTTATAAGCTTGCTAAAGCGAATTTATAAATAGTAAATTCTAACATCTTCGTCGCATTACAGGTGCTTAATATTAAGCATAAAATTTGGCATATTCATAGAAAATTAAATTTATAACAAACCGTAAATATGCTAATGAAATAATGCTTTAAAATATTCAAGAATGAGACTAAAATTTACATGTTTATGTAATGTACAATGTAAGTTTTCCTCTTGGAAGGCTTCATTCTTTGAATAATAATTTAGAAAAACGCAGAGATGGACTTAAGACTTCTTTCTTTTCTTCTTTTAGCCCTTTCTCTCCACCAAATAATGGCACATGTAAAAATGTGAAACCCAAGCTATAGTCTCATAACGCGAGACACTCAGCTGCAGCTTGTTTAGCTTATGTATGTACAGTACAAATCTGACTTTGTATATACTCATAATTAGTAATAAATTTGAAACAAAATTAATCTTTTAATGTTATCTAATTTAAAATTATTATGAGAAAAATATAATAAAATTCACACACACAGCAATTAAATTCCGTATAAAAACTACTTTAAAAAAGAATTTTATTTGGAGATATTCTGTATAATTTATTTTTGTATTTATATATAATGCTGCCAAACCTCTGAACAAGGCCACTGACTGAAACATGGAAAAGTGGCCGTTGTCTGGAGGTTATTTTGTATTCATTTTTGTTCAAAAAACTTAAAAAAATTTCCAAAAATATTGTCTGGCCGCTATTTAGAAGTGATCGTTATTGGAGGTTCGACTGTATTATAATTTCTTCAATAATATGTATTGAGAAAATATTTAACCGGTTTTTATTGTAGAAGAAGAAATAAAAAAAAATTTTTGATGTTTACGTGTTGCTATCGGTTATCACGTAATTTTAGAGGGGCACCTGCCCGGATGGGCAATCCTCAGATACGCCCATATATATAAATTTCATAATTTTCTGTAGTTTTGATCAACATATCCAATTTTTTTTTGGTTATATTTATGATAATTTTATAATAAACTTAATTTTTATCAATTCTGGAAGATAAATAAAAGATCATTAATTAAAATTCGTGAAGAATTTTGTATGTTTCCATCAATCTGTTAGAAGCTATTCTTAGAATCAAAGTGCGTTTAAATGTCTTCTAGAAATCATAAAATTAATCAATAAATTATGAAAATATTTCACGAGAATTACAAATAGTATGGTAATTAATGTATAGCAATGTAAATAACATTGATTACTTACATGTTTTAATGGTTATTAACGAGTAAACGAATTAAATTACAAACAAAAACAACCACTTGTAAAGTTTATCTCGTAGCAAACTCCTTAACGTTTTTTTTTTAAGCGTTACTGCTAAGTAAATGCATCATTTACTTATAATTTTACAATATTACTTACTTGAGAAACAATTAAACCATTAAGGAACTAAGTAAATAACACACAAATACATTGATTTAACTTTACATTTTTGAGTTGGAGAAAATAAAATAAAAAGCAAGTTCACGAACATAACACAACAGCAACTTGTCAAGGCCACATGACAAGCGAGTGAAGTCACGGAGTAACTAAAATTGGGAACAACCTGTCTGATATCAGCTCTACTTTTACAGTAATTAGACAAAGTTACACTTAAAATAAACATCACTTACCATTCGAGAACATGAAATATTTGGTTAACAGCGAGAGAATTCTGTTGCCTTTCTTTTATGACTTCATGATTTTCATTCATAATCATGTTTAAAAAAACACACTGTAACTCGGATGGTAACCACGCATGCGTCTGTAACCTAGCGTAACGTCTTTGTTTGGAAGTGAGGCCTTCCGCTATACAAACCTACATTAAGGTGCCAATAGACACGGCTTTTGATTTCTATGGGTAGTTTATATACGTGAGGGAAGAAAAGGGATTTAAAACCAAGGTCAGAAGTGTGTAACTAACGTAAATTTTGTATAAAATATTCTGCAACGCATGATCTTAATGGTCGAATGATGTACAGTACTGTATATTTTATGGTTTAAAATACTATACTATAAAAAATTTTATAATTTCCCACGAAAAACATAATTATTATTATTATTACTTTTTGTCTTGTGTGGGTACATTTATTATACTTGATTTTATACGCGTGAAAATTTCATATATAAAATGCCCATTATATTTTAATTATATTATTTTATAATTCGTGTTTAATATTTTAATACTTTTATTATTAATTTTTAAGATAAATTTAGGAAGAAGTGATGTTTTTCACCGCCATTAATTAATTAATTGGAACTCGAGATGAAAAATACGAAGCAGAAAGCATTTAACAAGGAATTACTTGGAAAATTATTCAAAATGTAGTCGAACCTGCAACGATGGTCACTTCTAAACAACGGTCATTTTTTCAGGAATGTTTCTTTAAGGAAAGTACACAAAATAACCTCTAAACAATGGCCACTTTTGTGTTTACATCACTAATCGTTTTTCAGATGTTTAATTGTGTATAATAAATTTACATTATTATTTTTAAGTAATTAATTTTGAAATATTTTGATTTGATTTTAAGCGATAAAAATAATAAATACTAGAAACATAATTTTGTGGGAAATTACCTAAAACTGGTTGCATATATTAAAGAACAAGTCCATATAGAGGGGGAACGTCAGTAGGAAAATTTGAATCAGGCCCTAGATACAGATACCCCAAAATTTAATTTTTTTAATGATTTTTCACATAATTTTTTTCATAAAATTTAATTTTTATAGGAAAAAATGATGCGAAAAATCTGTTTTCATTTACTTTATATATACACTTTTATAACTTTCAGAGAGGGTGGAGGCACCTCTCACAGACTACACTAAAAGAATAAACAGTAATAAATTGTAATTGTATTGATTAAAGACAGTATGTATAACAGCTACTATATAATATGTTATTTATTTATTATTTATTTATATCATTTCTAAAATGTAATATATTTACACAAAGAAATAGCCTAATAGTTTTTAAATAGCCCAGTAGATCAATGTTCATTACAAAGTAGAACATAATACAGTATATAGACCTATTAGAAAATAATATGTTGAACTTTTACAATACATTTGAAATTTTCAATACTTTTTCAAGAAATTTGAGAATGTAAAAACACACACACAAAAGAAAAGTCACACAACGTCATATTTAAATTTTTTAAGTTTTTAATCTGTTCTTATCTACGGTGCAGGAATGATACGCATTCAAAATCCAGCACATTGACTCCATTTTTATTCTGAGAGACACTACAGATCCTAAGATGGAATAATTTTATTATAATGTTATTTTATGGTTTAAAAACTATTACAGTCGAATCTCCAATAACGGTCACCTCTAAACAGCGACCACTTTTCAGGAACTTTATCTTAAACAGAAATATACCTTCAATTGATCTTATTCATGTTCCCATTGTTAATAATCCTATAACAATCAAACCTGTAAACAACGGCCATTGTTACAGTGGCCGTTGTTTACAGGTTTGATTGTTATTGTTATTTTAATATTTTTCATATTGAAAAAACAAAGAACGGAGTTGGGAACATAAATTTTTTTCAAAATATTATTTAACACATAAATACAGCGAATAAGAAATGTTTACATTTTAAGATAGGCCTACTTGTATTTATGTTAACTTTAACATTATTATTTTAAAGTAATTACAAATCATTGGAAGATCGTCCTGTTTGATAAATTGCTCGCTGACAACCAACTGATCATCGAAAAAGACTTGCTTTGTTATACAATTCTCCTCACGTAACCTATCAATGTGCTGAATAATTTATCATGTAGCACATTGCATAGTTTATCGCTAAAGATTAATCATCAAGATGAGTTTTCTAAACTATAAACTATAGTTTTTTAAAGTATTAATAGAGAAATTCACTTATCTGTATTCATCTGGATATCGCATGTCTTCTGGTGGATTTTATTAAAATTAATTATTGATAAAATGATTAATTTGGTGATATTAAATTAAATGTGCATTTTAATTATAACTTATTAACTGTTGTGCAAAATATTTTTTTTCAGCAATTGTACGGAATAACAATTTTCTTTCCAAGAACGTAATCTCTATTTATGATGTTAAATATACGGAAATTAGAGTCGTAAAGCGGCGATATAGGATGACCATAATTAAAGAGTAGGTGTTCAGAAAGAATTATTGGATAAGTCTAAATCACATTTGGTACACACACTGTTTTTAGTATGCGGTTTCGATTTCCTGAAAAAAAAAAATGTTTACTTCAAAATTCAGTCGCTAGGGCGAAATTTGGAGCTGTTTTTCCTTAATATGCATATTATGTACTGTACAAATTTTATAACAAATTTTGGGTATAGAAGGAGTCAAAACAGTCCCATGCAAAGTGAGCACATGACTGCATGGAACATAAAAATCATTGATGCGATCGCAGTTTCACATTTCACATTTGTAATTGAAATAGAATTATTGCAGTTTGTTTTTTAACTCTCAAAATTTATTAGAAAATGTAAACAACACGCAAAGTAAAATAATGACAGCGCCAAACTTTGCGCCAGTGACAACATTTTGAAGTAAAATTTTTTCCGGAAATTAAACCGCATGTTTATATCAAATTTGATTGAGATTTGACAGAGTTCTGTGCAGGGATCTGACCACCTGCTCTTTAATTATGATCACTTTGTACTTTTAAAACTATCTTATGATCTTATTAAAAATAATAAGAAACAATTAAATAAGAATAAAGTTACAGTATTCAAATGTAGAAATGTAATTTTGTAAAAATAATTTTCTGATTATCGTCATGGTATGAAAAATTCGAATTCATTGTGTTTTCTAATACCGCTAAATGTTTTCTTTACTGTTTAACAGAATATACAGTATGGCTCAAAAATCAGTTAACAAATATACAGTATTATATATTTAATTAAATTAATTACTATAGAATTATTTAGCAGCAGGTTATTATTATTATTTTCTCAAACAACTTTTTGACGTTAACAAAGAATTGATTTTTTTAAATTTATTCACAAACAGGATTTTTCTATCCAATGTTAAAATTTAGGGAGTTGCCACAACTCGCCAACCCCACCTTTGAAGTTACACTTTGAGAAAATATTTAAATTAGTAATCTAGTAAATATTTTTATTTTGTGAGAAATCTTTTATCCCTTGTGTATATTCAGTACATAATTTTCTTTACATTTACAGGAAAATATTAAGTAATAAAATAAAAATTTTCTATTAACCATCTCCTTTTTCCTGTTTTTAAAGTGATTAAAAGTAGAAGATCGAGCAGAAGAGGGAACAGCAAGTAGAACAGTGATCCAATGGAACGAAACGCATCGAATTCACTCATATGTTAAAGTAGACTGAATAGAAACAAAGGACGAAACAAATGATCGAATATGCGATAAATGGAAACAAAAAATATAAAGAAGAGATCGAAAACAATTTCTCTATAATCACATGTTTTGTTTTTGCTGGATTACTTCAATGAGCAACGAAGCGATCCATCATATTTGTTTGGGATGCTTTACTGTCGTGGGATGTGTTTGATATCACGTACAGAAATATATTTAAGAAATTATATCCTTTAAAAATATATATATTTAACCATTTAAAATAGGTAATTTCGCAATTATTTTGATTACCATTAAGGCTGATTGTAACCTCTGTAGTTGTGCACGCGGTTTCTAGCAGATGGCGTTTAAAGTGTAATGCTTTTTTTTATGGGAAATCCTTTTCCAAAAATTCTCGAAAACGGAACTAGACAGAAACGCTTTGATATAGGATTTATAATCCCATTTAATTCTTCTGCTAACGCACGGATCAGAATTTTTTAAATCGAATTCGTTAATTTTCTACAGATTTCCTTCGATTTTAGAAGTTCGCATTAAAAATTTAGAGAATTCTTTATAAAATTCAATTCGAAACGAAAAATGAACCAAAAATCAGTTAACCGTGCTTCGTTTCATGTGTTTCAGAAAGAATCGTAAACTGAGCTTGGAATGTATTCGAAAGGCTGAAAATTCAGTCTTTACGATGGTTAACTCATTTTTGGGCCACCATGAACATTAAAACCAAATATATTTTCAAACTGAAACTCTTGAATAACTCTCAATGTCATAGTAGACTGAATCATCTGCCACTTTAGGACCTATTAATTTCAGGATTTTTTTTTATTTGGAAATGTTCAAAGACTTGTTCTTGAAATTTTGTTTGTACAAAAAACAATAGGGAGAAAAAAACAACACAATGTACAACGAGTTCTATGCTAATTTAACGTTCAGATTGCGTGATGCAAATGATGAAGAAAACTAAATTATAGGAGTTTTTACTCCATCCCAACTCTCATATATACAAAGAGTTTATACTATTATCAATAATTAAGCCATCCAACTGGAACTTAGCACCTATTGTGTAAGGAAGTTGAGAAAGTTAGAAAGAAAAACAACACCCACAAATCCCCAATTGGGATTCAATTCTACAGCCTACAACACTGGAGCCCGATGTAGTAAAAACTAGGCTACTGCAGCTGCATATTGGGGACAGATAAGTATTTATAGGTCCAGTTAGCTCCTTCGACTTAAAAAAAAAAAATAAACTATTCTTTAATAACAATTCGTAGAAACGAAAAAAGGAACATAAAATATCTAATCTGCTCTGTAAATACTTGTAAGCAAGTGTTATTTTAACAACGTGGCATTCTACGAAAGAATAATTTTACAATAGTTAATTAACGCTACAAAAATTTTAGAATTTACTATCAAAAATACAATAAAAGACCTAGAATTTTTCTATAATAGCTTGAAATTTGGTTATTAATGCTTTAAATACGATCAAACATCGATTTAGCGCTGGCGTTAAATTAAAGTAAAACGTCTACACGTGAGTGTGGATTGAAAGTCGCGTGATTTGTGATTTGGTGATAAAAATGTTTACAAAGCAAAAGCCATTGGCACTTTGCGAGAATGACGATACTGTATTTAGAAGGGCGTTATATCAAGGTTTGACTTTACTAAGAAATTACAGAGGCAAGAAGCCATTTTAGTAGAGTAGAGTAAAAATTAGATAATTCTTTTATCATAATCGACAAAAAGATAAGGGATGTTTCTTACTTCAGGAATTGCGAAAGAGTAAAATGACTTGTAAACTCGACCCCGACGTTA